CTCTGGCCCTGCCTGGAACCCGGCACATGCTGCCCCTGTCTGGACAGACCCAGGGTGCCCGGGCCTCTACTTACTGCTCTGGGCCTGCCTGGAACCCGGCACATGCTGCCCCCGTCTGGACAGACCCAGGGCGCCTGGGCCCCTGCTTACCGCTCCTGTGCTCTGCTGCCGGGCGTCCAGGGCTCCAGCCAGGCCATCTGTGGCTTGCGGGGCCTCATATTTGACCCTGAAACACAAGAGCAGCCACACTATTCGATGCCAACATGTGGAGGTGAGCACACCGGGGGCTGTGAGGAGGGGGCAGGGTGATGGCAGGGGACAAGCTGGACCCACAGCCTGGCAGCAGGACCCAGGCCACGGCCTCTCCTCACTGCCCAGCCAGGGACGGAAGCAGTGCTCTTCCTGTGCAGGGGAGACATCTCCCACCTGCAGATGGGCCTAGGCCCAAAGCTGGGGAGCCCCAGCCCCAGCGCCCCCATGACTACAACTGGAGTGGACCAAGCCCCAGGGAGTGAGAAATGGCTCCAGTGACCCGGGCTCCGGGCCACACTCCCTGTGTCAGAGCTGGGTCTGTACAAGGTTGCCTTTAAGTGGAGCACATGCCGGCAGATGGCTGGATTGGCTGAGAGCATGTGGGGCGCCGGTGGCCCTCACCCACCCGTCGCAGCTGCATGATGCTGGATGGCAGGCCAGCTTTTCAGATGACGGCTGGTGGTTTTGAACTGTAGACCTTGTGGTGAGCAGCCCAATGCGTAACCATGAGGACACCAGGGCTCATGCTCCCTCTGACAGGTGCTGTGTGGCCCTGCCACCGTTCCAGCACCATGCTCACCCCTGCCCCTGAGCCTCCGCACAGACCGCCCCCCTCCCTTCCTGCGTGCAGGCAGCACTGCAGAGAGACGCCTGCTCGCCAGGCCCTCTCCGTTGAGGCCTTAGGTCCCAGGGAGCCCCCTTGCAGCCTGTGCCTCCGTCCACCCGGGGCCCAGCACAACTGCTTGCTTGGCTCTCAGGACTGGGCTGTGGGCCCCATGCTTCCTTCTGTGCAGCAGGCACGGCAGGACACTTAGCTTCATGACAAGCAGCCACGGGGGCTGGGCCCAGGGCCCAGGTTAGGATGCAGCCCACAACTCAGGGCTGGCTCTGGGCAGGGGCAGGAGTTGCAGAAAGCTAGGTGGCCCAATTGATGTGTGTATGGATTGTGATAAGAGTCGTATGAGCCCCTAATAAAACGATTAAAAAAAACAAATAAAGCGACTTTAAAGACCTCTCAGGTTAGTAAGGTCAAAAAAGCTGGAGGGGGGGCGGGGAGGGAGGGGGAAAAATGAGGAGCTAATATCAAGGGCTCAAGTAGAAAGAAAATGTTTTGAGAATGATGATGGCAACAAATGTACAAATGTGCTTGACACAATAGATGCATGTATGGATTGTGGTAAGAGTTGTACGAGGCCCCAATAAAATGATTAAAAAAAAAAAAGAAGAAAGCTGGGTGGCCTTGGCAGGTCCATGTGCCTACACAGGGCAGGCGGTGAGGAGGGGCTCTCGGGAGGGAGGCCCTTGGTGGTGTCCTCAGACGGAGTCAGAGCAAAGGGTGACACACACCCCGGGGAAGCCTGAGGGGAGCCAGCCCCGGCAGGCTGGGCCCCGTGCCAGCTGCGGGAGGTGGAGACGGGCCGCAGAGGGACTAGAGTCCAGCTCTGTGCTCGGAAGGCAGGCCAGAGGGCAGCAGGGATGGCCTGGGGAGTTACAAGTGGGGGCAGAACAAGAACGGAAGGCCTAGTAGGCCCGGAAGCTTATCATGCCCTGGGGAATTGGCATGTGGTGGAGAGAGGGGGTGGGCTTGAGACAGATTGGGAGCCAGGCAGCCCTGGGCTTCCAACCCAGAGCTGCCTCAGTTTCCTCCTGTGCCCTGACAACATGACGTCGAGTTATATGTGTGTGCGACATGGCTGGTCATGAGTGGTGGGCCACCCCCCTCCCCTTCCCACTGGCCATGGGAGCAGAAGATCCTGGAGGACCGACTTGGGGGACAGGAACCGGCCATCTCCAAGGCTCTGTGCTGTGCCTCAGTTGGCCCGTGCCCCGCACCCTGCAGGGCCAGGCAGGGCGGCCACTCACTCTTTCCGCTGGTCGGCCAGAGAGCTGCCCCGAGTCAGTGCAAACATGTCGAACTCGTCCTCCAGGCGGCCTGAGGTGTTCAGAGATTGCAGGCCGCTCCGCACGCTACTGGAGCCCAGGTCTGCAGGGACAGGGAGGGCCACATGGAGGACACGCCGTTTGTGCTGGCAGACAGGGCTGCTCCCTGCAGGACCCAGGGCCTGGCACTTGGTGTGGAGACAGAGCCAAGTGGGACCTGAGCAGGGGGTGGGGGAAGCCACCCGCAGGTGGTGGGCTCTGGGCAAGTCTCATCCTCTCTCTAGCTCCAGTGTGTTCCTTCCCAAGGATGCCGTGTGTGCCAGCCTTAACTGGGCTCCACACACAGGCTTTCCAGGGTGGCCTCGCAGACATGGGGCCAGGCCTCCTCTCCAAGGGTGGACTTGAACCTCCAGCCTCTCTCTGAACAGCCGAACATGGAACTGACGGCACAGCCAGGGCTCCAGATGGGCGGTCAGCCGTTAAGACAATATGAAAAATCGTGTTTAGTGATTCAAATCTGTGATCTCCATTCTCTCCTGGAGCTTGGCAGGAAAGCAGGCCATCGCTGCCGTGACAGATGAGCTGGGGACGCACCCACTGACTGGCAGTGTCCTGGGGCCTGGCCAGCTCTCCTCACTCCTCGTCCACCAGTCTAAGCAGTCTGCACCACCGCCTGCGAGATGCTCTGGGCCTCCCTGTGCTGCAGAGCAGGGGGCGTGCATGCATGCAGGGGCCGGAAGGGACTTGCCCAAAGGCACCCAGGGGACCAGACCAGGAGCAGGCCTCCTGGCGAGGCTGTGGGCACTGGGGCTGGAAGTGGGGGGGCATGGAGGGTTCATGGGCAACCAACCCGGCAGCGAGATTCGGCCTGGCACTCCAGTGAGGTACAGTTTGGGCCACCTTTTTGCTATTGGGGTTCCAGCTCCAGTTGTGTACATTAACCCCCCCCCCCACACACACACACACACTTACTCATTCCTGCCAGCTGGGATGAGAGGTGGCTGGGGGCTGCTGGGCCCGGACCCATGTCGATCAGATCTGCGGCCTGCTCGGCCTCACTGGGGCCCTGAAAGAGAATGAGACATCATGTCCCTCAACCCTGTGGCCTGCAGCCCTACTCCTGCCCGCAAGCTGTGGGTCGGCCTGCCTCGCTTTCTAGTTCTCGGGACCTGGGGGAGGTCGGAAAGGGCCCTGGGCATCAGCTGGTGCACAGGCTTACTGAGCAGGACAGTGGCATCAAGTGTGAGCAGGGATCCTGGGTAAGTAACCAAGCCCCAGGGCACAGCAGGACCTAGTCACCGGGTGGGAGGGGCCTTGTTACCTTGGCGGCCTGTCCTGTCCGGAACCGCTCGAACCTGGAGACAGAGAAGACCTGCTTCAGAACTCTCACCCACAGCCTGGGTCTCAAACCGAACCGGGCTGCAGGTGAGCGGCAGAGCCCTGGACAGCGCCCTGAGTCCAGCAAGGCACCTCCACCTTGAGTGCAGGCGTGTCCCTGCAACACGCCCCTCAGCAGAGACCAGCCAGGAAAAGGGCTCCGGGCACACAGTGGAGGGTGGGGTGACCCTTTCAGTTACAGACGCGCACGAGAGTGGGAGGTGAGCAGGGCTCTGCGTGGTCTGAGGCAGAAGCCCCTCTTGCCCTCTTCCCTGTCCCATGGGGGTCACTGAGGCACCATCAGTCGATGGCCGTGAGCTTGGCTTGTGGCTTCACTAGCCCACAGACAGGCCGAGGGGAGCTGAGCTGATGGGGACAAGGGCTGCTGGGCCCAACCCTGCCACTTGGTGCGGCCTTGGGCAGATGGCCTCACCCGGAAGTCCAGGTGCCTCGTGAGAGGGGGGCAGGGCCAAGCCTGCCTCCAGTGGCTGAGGGGATCAGGGTCGAGACCCTGGGATAAGGGGAAGTCCCACTGAGTCGGGGGAGGGGCACAGCTACCTCTGTGCCCAAGGTGGCCGGGAGGTGGGCACCCTGGGACTCAGAGCAGGAGGAGCCGGGCACCGTGGCTGCAGTGCACCACCGTCCCAGTGGACGGGAAGGGCTCTGGGCTTGGCGCCCCAGACCACTGGGACTAGGCCCCACCCGGCCCTGCCTGCCAGCTGCTCGGCAGCCCGACACGTCCCACTTAGAGCGAGATGCAGTGCTCACGCACTCCTCACGGGACCTCTCTCGCCCCTGCACAGACGAGGTCCTCGGTGGGACTGGCATCAGGGGCTGGTGAAACCAAGCTTCCCAGGGAGCTAGGCCGGCACCTCTCTCAGGAAGTGGCCTGTGTCCCTGGGCGGAGCCGACACTTGGGGGAGGGAGGGCCCCCCACCGTTCGTGGCGCAGGAACACGTTGTTGAGGTTGTCGTTGACCAGGAGCAGCTCCTCGGTCAGCTGCTCGTGGGCGATGCGGGGGATGAGGTCCAGGACCCGCTGCTGCATGGCCCGGCACGTCCGGTTGAGCTCCTGCCCAGGGAAGGGAGACAGGTGGTCACCCACCAGCCCGAGAGGGGTCACTTCCACAGGATGGGGCTCTAGGCCTTGGAGGAAGGAGGGGGTTCCTAATGGGGCTTCAGGGGCCTGGAGTCTCACTTCTGACGTGTTCTGTACTGACATCTACGGCACTGGGCACAGCCTGCCAACCCATTCTGCGGCGGAACCTGGCTCTGTGCAGCCTTCTGGAGAGTTCTGAGGAGATGCAGGCGGGAGGTTCCAGGGGACACAGCGCAGCCTCTCCTCTGGGCATGCTAGGCCACAGTGCTGGGGTGAAATCCAGATGACACTCACTACCAACTTCAACCTGGTTTTGAATTTCTGCCTCAACAGCACTACCGATGAACTCTTTAAAACAACAACAACAACCCTTTCATCCTGAGGCTCCCTGGTGGTGCAGTGGTTACACGATGGGCTGCAATCTACTTCCACACACAGTTACAGACTTGGAAACCCGAGTCAGCAATGCCTCGATGGCAGTGAGCATGGTTTTCACCTTGAAGTGATTTCTGGTTTACATCCAAGTTGCACACAGTAGAGAAGGTCCTCTAGGCCCTTGCTGGGGGCTTGGCCCCACCCAAGGAAGGGGACGTTAGTCCGACGTGTGTCAACGCTAAGAAGTGAACATTATACATCAGTCCCCCGGGCTCTCCATTACACACGGTGCAGTTTCTGCTCCAGGACCGAGCCGGACAATCACGGCGACGTCTCTCTCTACTGCAAACTCTCTATGCGACACACCACTCTTGCCAACCCAACGAGAGGCTGCTGTGGGAAACGTGTGCACTGACTCACATCTCAAGAAGGAAACAAGGAAACCCACAGGGCAAGTTCAGAAGGTGCCCAGAGGCACCTCGGGGTCGCTCGTCTGTCAACTGAATGCCAACTGTTCAGACGCAGCCCCGGGAGCTCGACGGGGCAGTCCCACTCTGTCCTACAGGCTTATGAGGGTTGGAACGACACACCGTCACCAACACAGGCTTGGCTTGCTCGTGGTCAAGGGACGTGTCTTTCCTCAGGGAGCTGCCCCCAGGGGACTGGCCGTGGTGTTGAGGTCCAGAGGGATAGTCCTTGGCACAATTGTCTCCAGTCTACTTTTCTCCAGGAGCTGTTAGCCAGGCCAGGAGAAGCTCAACCTTTGTCCAGGCCTTCTGGACTCTGCCACCCTCCCCACTGCCAGGGCCAGGCCACCTGCCAGGAGCTCCTCACAGTGAGTGCGGGTGGGGCAGCGTGCAGTGACTTCTACCGCCGACGGCCTGCCGACCGGGCACCCTGCAGCCTGGCTTCTTTCCTTGCTAGCCCCTGGCAAGGCAGAGGACTGGCACCTGGAGTCAGGCAGCCTACGCTCAAATCCCAGCTCTGTGAGTCTGGGCACATTACTGTCTTCCTGTCTGCCTCAGTTTCCTGATCTGATAAATGGGGATCATGAAAGTACTGTCCTCATGGGGGAAGGGGAAGTGGTGAGGATTAACAAGGGAATGTGCGCCCAAAGGTTGGTGGTTCAGACCCACAGATGCTCCGTGGGAGAGAGAGAAGGCGGTCTGGTCTGCTGCCGTAAAGCTACAGCCTGGGAAACCCTATGGGCAGTCTGCTCTGTGCTGTGCGCTGCTGTGGGTCTGGTTTGTGCTACATCAGAGCCTGCCACCAGGGAAGTGCCCCACGTCTGGGAGCTGTCACTGAGTGTTCTCTTCTGTGGCCTCGGCTTGAGACCCCCACATCTGACGGCACTGGGGCAACCTGGCTGCTCCCACTCACACATCGGTTCTCACCGAGCTTCCCATCCATGTGCTCATTCACCCCGTAACCCCAAGGCTCCCACCCTGGATGCAAGGGCCCTGGGCAAGCGCACTCACTGTGCCGGCACCTGTACAGTCAGCCCAGGGTCAGAGCCAAGCCCTGCGCTCCAGAAGAGGCGGCCCACTGGCTGCGAGAGGGCCTGCTTGGATAAGCACAGGTGCACTGTGCCCCTCTGTGCCCTGGAAACTCCAACACTGTCGGTACCTCAGGCAGCCCCTCTGTGCCACCTCCACAGGGCAGGCGTCTGTCCCCACACACAGCCCCTGGGCTCCTGTGATCGCACAGCTGGCATGGGGGCCATGGGAGCACCACCAGCAGCTCCCCCCCACCAGCTGCTGCCCCCAAGTCCATGGCTGTCCTCTCCAGGCCGCCTTGCTGCCCGCCAGCCTTGCTCACTGCTGAGCCCTCCTCCGGCGTCTGGCCAGCTGATGCTCACCTTCCAGCTTTTTCTGCTAGCAGCTGCTGAGCCGACTGCCAGGCAGAGGCTCGGCATTTCCATGGAGGCATAAGGGGATTGTGTCCACACCAAAAACCAGCAGAGGAAAGAACTGACTTCCAACCTGATGGAGTCTATCTTGCTTCAACTATCTCCTGCTCTGACCAGGGGGTGAACGCGTGCTGTGCTACGTGTGCATGCTCACCTGCAGCAGCTCCAGATCTGCGGGTCCGGCCTGGGTGGGCACCAGCTCCGTCAGCATCTCTGACATCACCCGCACGTTCCCGCTCACCATCTCCAGCTCACTGCGCAGCTTCCCGATCTGGAAGACACCAGGGCCCGCGGTAAGAGACACCAGTCTGGGCAGGAGCCTGACCCCAGCAGCCCTGGGGTGGGACCTGCTGGGGTCCTTGTAGGGCTGCCTCCTCCCTGGTTGCTGGGCCATAGTCCTGCACGAAGAGGCCTGTGGTGGGCTTGCCCCCCACCCCTCAGAGCTGCTACCAACCGTTACCATCTTCAAACGGGGAGCCTGGCGCAGGGAGAGACCCGAGGAAAACAAGTGGAGGTGAATGAATCACCGAGCCGAGATGCAAGGACTGCGGCGTCTCTCGGGTCCAGAGTGGCAGCTAATGAGGCCTCGGGGGTGGCTTCTCCCAAGGGTCAGGACCAGGCGTGCTGGGCGCTGCTAAGGGAGTGGGAGGCAGGGCAGAGCGACCGGCTGGGAGGCCAGGGGCACACACTGCTGCATTAACAATGAAGGGGGCACCGGGTAGAGGGGCGTGAGGAAGAGAGCTGAGGTAACCAGGTAGCAGGGAGCAGGGGCTCTTCATTCCATGGGATGTCTGGTGGCTGAGATGCAGTAGTTGTCAGGGAAAAGCGTGCGTGGTGACGACCTGCTCATGGTCTTGACAGTGGGGATGGTTCTGAGGAATGGGTGAGGGTTCAGTCTGAGCACGTGTTGGTGACCCTCGGCACTCAGGGCCCTGCTCTTCAAGCTGCTAGGCTGCGGGCACTGGCACACTAAGCACTCAGCAGCCGGCTTAGCCATTTTCTTGCCAGGCCCGGTGATGGGGTCCTGATCTGCTGCAGCAGGTGGTCCACCCAGACTCATGTGTCTGAGGGTCCCTCAGGGGCCTGGGCCACCGTCCTCCAAGCTGCAGGCCCTTTGTGCTCCTCTTGGACTCACCGAGACGCGATTCCCTCTCCTCTGGGGGTCACTGAAATGTTGCCCCTTCTCTTCTCCTGGGGTAACTGGGATGCTGCCCTCCTCTTCCTGGGGCGCCAGGGGTGTTGTTCCTCTCTCCTCTGGGGTAACGGGGATGCTGCCAGGGGTGGGACTGTGTGCTGCCCCGAGTCAGCTCTGGTGTCCCAGGGCTCAGCTTGAGTGTGAAACTGATGGAGGGCCGTGGGACACATGGTCCAAGGGGCGTCAGGGCCAGTCTCTGCGTGGGGAAGCACTGTGTGTAAGCCTCAGGGTTGTTTCTTCCAACAGATGCGGCTGTGAGTCTCCGAGGTGGCTCATTTCCAATGCACACGGTGTAGACAGAACTCTCAAGAGATCAACGTGAACGTTCCCAACACGGATTGGACAGAAGGACCGTTACCGCAAGTCGAGCAGTCAGTAGAGGGTATTTTTGGAGATGCTGGAACAGTTTAAATTATGCTACAGTTAGCTGATTTCAAAATGTGAGTGCCATCTGTGCCCTGATGGCTGTGACAGCAGCAGCCACTTACTTGGTGACCACCTACTAAGTGCAAGCATATGACTTACACCTCTGCTTTCACCCTCACCAGGGTCTGAGCAGGGCAGCATCTCCATCCCAGCTCCTACAGGGCACATGTGCCCACTGTGCCCCACTGCCACCTGCGGAAACTCAGCAGAGGTGCTCCTTCATGGGTGTTCTCGGCAGGTGGCGGTGGCGTGCATGTGTGAGCCCACTGTTGCAGGCACTGTGTCAGTTCACCTCGTCGGGGGCCTTTTCACTGTTACTTTTCCATCCCTCGACATTACCAAGCCTGCTGTCCTTCTCCGGGGACTGCTCTCTCCTGACAACACAGCCGAAACACACGAGATGAAGCCTTGCCAACCTTGGCTTGCGGGACCGTTCTGGCTGCACGTCTGCTCAGACAGCCCTGTGCGCTCGTTTGGCGGTCCATGGGGCTTTCAATGCCCTTCACCAGTACAAGCCAAATGCCACAGGTTCTTTTCTGGTCTTCCTCACTCAGTGCCCCACTTTCACATGCGGGACGTGAATGAGCATCCCACGGCCCAGGGCAGACCCACCCTAGTCCTCAGCGCGACACCCTTGCTCTTCAATACTCTAAAGAGGGCTTGTGCAGCAGCTTTCCCCAGGGCAACGTGCTCTTGATCTCTTGACTGCTGCTTCCAGGAGCGTCGGTTATGGATCCAAGCAAGGCAAAATTCTTGGCCGCTTCGCCCTTCTCTCCCTGTATCACGTGTGACCCACTATTGCGGTTGTGAGGAGTCTGGTCTTCATGGCACGGAGTTGTCGTCCACACGGAAGGCTGCCGTCCTTGATCTTCACCAGGAAGTGCTTCAAGTCCTCCTCACTTTCAGCCAGCAAGGTGTGTCAACTGGATACTGCAGGCTGTTAATAGTCTTCTTCTAATCCTGAGGCTGCATCCTTCATATAATCCAGCTTCTCTGATGCCTTGCTGAGCATACAGATTGAATAAGCATGGTGAGAGGCTACACCCCGACATACACCTCTTTTGACTTTAAATCAAACAGGATGCCCTTTGTTCTGTTCGCACGACTGCCTCTTGATCCATGTACAGGTTCTGCATGAGCTCAATGAAATGTTCTCGCAGTGAGAGTGAGGGGACAATGACTAAACACAAACCCAGTGTATCCACGTCACATGGGACTTCTGGGAGCACAGCAGTGTACGCCCAGACGACTGGACAGAAGGGGACAAGGAGATTTAACTACTCAGCAACAATCTCCTAGCCCAAGGAGCCATCCGAACCTCCATGCACACACGTGCCAGACCACAGCCGAGGGGTTAGCACCCCGGCCTGCTTCCACAAGGTCTGGACCATAGAGTGGCTTTTAGGATTTTTATGCACCTTCAATTATTTTACCCACTCATCAGAAAACTTTCCCATCATACCTGTGACCCTGAGGGAGAGGGTGATTTCATAATTGGTTATGGGGTCTCAAAGCACAGCAGCTTCTCTCCCAGTGGGCCGGGTATGCGAGGCTGCTGGTATGTTTACGTGTCTGCATGTGCAAATAATCCCATACACACTGAGTGTGGGGTCTCATCTCTGAGAAGTTCAGTTTCATCTGTCTCTAAGATAAACCTGTGTCTTTCTTACCAGCAATTCCAGCAGCCAAGCATTCACATTTAGCTGATGTGCTGCGTCTGAAGTTTGTCAAGTGGCTCAGAAGTGCACACTCTCACAGTACACAGGCCACAACTGCCAACCCAAGGGCCAAGTCTACAGTGACTCAGCACCCTGGGTGGCCCTCCTGTCCAGGGGAAAGGAGTGAGGACCATTGAAGACCCAGTTAGGGATTGGATGGAATGATGGACCACGAGAACATTAGTCTGCACAACCCTGAGCCCGGGAGAACTAGATGGTGCTTGTTCATTGCGACCAACTGCTCTGAAAGGGATCACATAAGAAGGCCCTGTGAGACTCCACTCAAGTACTCCCTCAATGCAAGAATACTTGTTCTATTAAACTGGCATTCCATGATGCTCACCTTCCCGACACAATAGCTGAAGACTAATGGATACATAAGCAAATGTGGTGAAGAAAGCTGATGGTGCCCGGCTATCAAAAGATATAGCGTCTTGGGTCTTAAAGGCTTGAAGGTAAACAAGTGGCCATCTAGCTGAGAAGAAACAAAGCCCTCATGGAAGAAGCACATCAGCCTGTGTGACCAGAGGTGTCAATAGGATCAGGTTTCAGGCATCAAAGAACAAACAAAATCATATCCTTGTGAATGAGGGGGAGTGCAGAGTGGGGATCTGTAGGCAACTGGACATCCCCTGACAGAAGGGCTGCCAGGAGGAGATGAGCCAGTCAGGGTGCAGTATAGCAATGATGAAATATACAACTTTCTTCTAGTTCTTAAATGCTTCCTCCCCCCACTATCATGGTCCCAATTCTACCTTACAAATCTGGCTAGACTAGAGGATTTACACTGGTACAGATATGAGCTGAGAACACAGGGAATCCAGGACAGATGAACCCCCACCCCCAATATTAGGAGTAGAGATACCAGGAGGGGAAGGGAAAGGTGGGGTAGAAAGGGGGAACTGATCACAATGATCTACATATAACCCTGTCTCTGGGGGACGGACAACAGAATAGTGGTTGAAGGGAGACATCAGATAGTGTAAGACATGAAAAAATAATTTATAAATTATCAAGGGTTCGTGAGGGAGGGTGGGGAAGGGGAAATGAGTTGCTGATACCAAGGACTCAAGTAGAAAGGCAAATGTTTTGAGAATGATGATGGCAACAAATGTACAAATATACTTGACACAATGGAAGCACGAATGGATTGTGATAAGAGTTGTATGAGCCCCCAACGAAATAATTTAAAAAATTTTTTACAGAAGGCCCTGTGAAGAATAAGAGAACATGCAGAACAAGTCCCAAACTCAAGAAATGACCAGGCTTGCTGGGTAGATCAAGTCTGGTGGACCCCTTGAGACTACGGTCTTTAGTCACCCTCCTGGGCCTGGAAATGAACTCATGTTCAATTGTATGCCCAACAGAGGCAGGTCTAGGAAGGGCGCAGCAGCACCAGCAAAGTCTGCACTCCTCAGTCCACCGTGTGAGATCCCAGGGCCACACCGACCCAGGGACAGAGCTCAGCAGGGTAAGGGAAGGAGGGGGATGGAAACAGCACGCACAGGAGGAAGTGGGATCGATGACATGAAACAAAATGCTATATATACATATTCTTCACAAAAGGAGGAATTTGTTGAATGGACATCGATCTGTTCTGCGCATAGCTACAGAATGCCTGCGCAGCTGGCGAGCAGGGCTCTTGGCTGTGAGCAGCCCGGCACTCTCCTTGCAGCTCATGGACTCCCCCAGCGTCTGGAGGAAGACGCTGAGGCAAGAGACTGTGCAGGTCACCCTGCCACCAAGTCCAGGGGGGCCCTTCCATGCTAGTCAGCTCGACCTGGGGAAGCCCAAGCCCACCCACCAGCCAGTCTCAGAGCTCCTTTGGGCTTTGTAGTACAGAAGCACCCTAGGGCGATGCCAGGGTGGGGTTTCCTGTCTTTGCCCAGCACCTCTGTTAAGGGAAATCTCTGGTGGCTAAGGGAGCAAACCATAGGGGTAGAGCCCAGCTGCTCGTGGGGAGGGGCCTGCTGTGCTGGGGGCACCATCCAGCGGTCTGAAACCCCCCACCCCCACTCCTTCCGATGGGGCACAGGTAGCATCAGACCTGCACTTGAATCCCAGAGGTTTCTGATGGATTGTGAGTCTGGGCAGGTTAGCACAGCTCTCTCATCTCCAACACGGGGGTGGGGACTGGCACAGCCTGTGGGCTGCAGTGAGAACTGAGCGCAGGCTCCACTGGTTGCCACCTCTGTACTCAGGTGGACCCTCTGAGGGTGTGGACATGGGCCCAGGCCCCATTGTGGCCAGCTGCTTACCTGCTCAGAAGTTGGTGTGAGAGGCGCGTCGCCAGGGTGTGCGGCCGGTGTGGGTGGCGGGGCGGTGTGCTGGTTGGCATCCACTTGTTGACTGGGGTCAGAAGCCACAGAATTCTGTCCTGAAGGGGTCTCCGAGTTGAACACAGTCTAGAGGACAAAAACCAGGATCAACGAGGACTCCTGGGGAAGAAGCGGCCCCAGGGACTCCAAGGATAACAGGAAGTAACTACAGCAAGCCCCCTGGGGGACAAGGCCTGCCTCCTCTACCCACTGCTCGCTCAGGTTGTGCCCAGGGCAGACTCTCCTCACCCTCTGGGGTGTATGGATGGGTGACAGCATGTCCAGGTCGGTCATGGGGAACTCCAGGCCTTTCCTCCGCAGGTCCTCGTAGACGGCGACGACACCTGTCAAATCGGGCGAGCTGCGGAACGCGTCAGCCCAGGACTGAGAGGGGGACAGGGGACATGGCAGTAACCACCGCTCACTGTCCCCCCACACTCCCCAGCAGCCATGGCGGGCAGGCACCCTCGCACTAAGAAGCCCCTGTGCCCATGGCACTCACCTGGATGAGGTTGAGCACCTTGTCGTGCACGATGGTGGGGGGGTTGTTCTTGGGCAGGATGGTCCTCACCAGCACCCCCTCCACGAAATCCTGACTGGCCACCAGCACATGGAAGCGGTGCCCGCAGTTCTTGACGCAGGTTTCCAGGACCTGAGGGATGTGGGGTGTCACCAGGCCACCCTCACCTCAGGCCCTATCTACACAGTTCTCCCACATCCCTCAGGGGAGGCCGGGCAGAGGCCGGGGGCTTCCCTCCTGAAGGGGAAACACAGCGGGGGCTTATGTGCGGGGGTCCGTCACATGGACAGGAGGTGAGGGGCCAGCTGGAGGGCACTGGCTGACAGGACTCAGTCCTGGGCTGAGCCTGGTCTGGAGGGGAGGCGCGCCTGCATGTGGACAGCAAGAAGCTGGCCTTTCACTCGGCCTCTGACCAGGCTGTGGGGGGAAGCACCCGCCTCCCTCCTGCTTCCCTGCACAGCAGCCCTGGCTGCCGCTGAACCCGAGTCACAGCACTTGACACACATTGGTCTCCTCCCACCCCCGACCCAGGCAAGCCCCTCCGGCAGTTGGGGTCCTGTGGGCGGGCAGTGCAGCGAGGTGAGGGCTACCCTCGTCCTCGTCCCAGCCCCCGGGTTTGGTCACGCTCACTTTTCAGGGCACCAGGGTGCCACGTAGCCCTAGCCCCGACTAGGCTTCTGTTCCACCAGCTTTGGAGTCCTCTGCCAAGGCCCTCATGCAGTGGGCCTGTATGCCTGAGGTGGGAGAACCTTCCAGAAGACCGCTCTTGTCAGCATGCTGTACTGTGCTCAGCCCAGGTGTGGATGAGGAGCCCAGGGCAGCCTGGGGAGGCCACCTGCACAGACCACTGGGTGCCACCGTGGGACAGACTGATGGGAGGCCAGGGGCCCGGACACTCACCGTGAGAGCCAGCATCACCTCGTGGAAGTTCTTATTCCCCACAATCCTCTTCTTCACTGCCCGGAAGGCATCTTTGGGGCTGGGAAGAAGGGCAAGGGCAGGACAGCTGAGGCCGGAGCTCCCAGATGCAGCCGGCCTACATCTGGGCTCGGCAGCAGCGTAGGCTCAGCCTCTCTCTGCCAGGAGAAGGCCCGAAGGAGGTCAGGACAGCCTAGGTGGCTCTCGGAGCTGCACTCTGAGTCCAGTGTGCCTTGATGGTGAGCACAGAGCTCGCCCACAGGAACGGGTGTTGGGCTGGCCAGAGCTTCTCATGCCCAGTGAAACCTGAGGACCGGCCGGCTCCCCTCTGTGCTCCCAGAGCTGCCCAGCACTACCACGTGCCTGCCACCTTCAAGATGGCAACAGGCCTGCCAGGCACCAGGCTCGGGGCACAGTGAACAGGACTCACAGCGCGAAGGCAGATGGTGAGGCTTCTGGGCATGAGCCCTGCACGGAGCGGAGTACTGACGACCTCCTGGGCTGGGGGTCGGTCGGGACTGCGGCCTACCAAGGGGAGCACCCCAGGGCTGTGAGAGTCATCGCCAAATGCCCAGGGAGGGTTGTCCTGCGGGGAGGCTGGCTTCCGTTGCAGATGTGGCCTTGGCCCGTGGGCCACGGCAGCTCTCTAAAGGGCCTGGCTTCCACTTCCCAGGGCGTGGCCCAGAGGAAGAGGCCTCAGGAATGGACCGGAAGTGGCACATGCCTAGCAGGAGTCAGTCCTGCCCCAGGAGCAGAGCAGGTGTGGCCACAGGCCCTGGGGAGGAGATGACGAACGCAGAGTCATGGCTGCGTCCCTGCAGCTGGTCCAACACCTGGGGCTGAGCAGGCCCTCAGGTACAGCAACCAATTCAAGGACCCTGGGGCCAGGACTGGGCAGCAGCAATACTCGGCTGACCCACCCTGTCTACAAAGGTTTCCGAGATGCACACCTTGACGGGAGCACACAGCCTCGGCTCTGTGGAGCGTGGAGCGGCTGGTGAGTTTGAACCTCTGACCTTGAGCTTGGCAGCCCAGCAGGGCTCCTTCTCATGTTCTGGTTTGGTCTCCTGGGGCTCCCACCCCTTCCAGGTCCTCCCCTACTCTCCTCACTCCTGGTGCAGGCCCGAGTGCGCCCGAACCAGCTCCTGGGCTGGCCCACGAGGTTACCTGGTAGCCCTTGAACTCTGACCCAGCTGCCCACAGCCAACCCCACTTTGGGCTGGGGCACATACCCACAGTTCCCTGCCTGCTTCGGGCTCTCCCTGGCTGGAAGGATCCCTTCAGGACAGCACGATGACCTTGGTGAGAAGGGAGAGAAGAGCCATCCTTCCCAAGTACTGCTGGGAATTTACCACGCAGAGGCCTCACCTGTCTGCAGCCCCTCACAGCCCGCCCTGTGGCTTTCCTGGGGCAGCCCCCTTTCTCTAGGTGTAGCTAAGCTCTGTCTTTGAGGAGGATAGGATAAAGGCCTACAGTGGCTGGGGGCCTTGCCCGGCGTCACCCAACCAGTAGGCGCTGGCTGGTCAGAGGTTAGGAGCCAGGCTCAGACTCCTGCCTGATGCCATGGACTGAGATGGGGCTCAGTACAGGAGAGGGCAGGAAAGGCTCAGCCAAGGCTCACTCTCACCAGGGACCAGGTTCACTTCACTTTCACTGTCCCCACCCCCCGGGACCCCCGCCCTGCTGATTTCCAGCAGGAAACGAGTCTGCCTGCGCACACAAGCGCATGGCTGGGAGTCCTGGCACCTGACAGGCAGCTCCCTGTGCTGAAAAGCTGTTGCTGAGTCCATGCACATGCTCGAGGCCTTGACTCTGAACTTGACACCTCTGGGTCTCTCGAAAGTCAGTGAGGACTGGGCGTGACCATGACTCTCAATAGCCTCCTTCCTGGCCCCACAAAGAGAGAGAGAGCCTGGGGTGGGGCTGAGGAAGGGACCTTACAAAGTTGTCAGGAAACCGGGCTACAATCAAACTTAAGACCAGGACCCCCTCCTGCCCCTCCCAGAACCCAGTGGCAGGCGCGGCCATCCTGCCCCCCACACACCCTCCTCGTGGTGAGCAAGGCCTCACCCTTCCTCGGTCTCGTTGATGATGTCACAGATCTCCATGTTGAGTGCCCAGTCCTCGCTCTGCAGGGAGCCATCTGTTGCTTTCTCTGTGGAAGAGAGACCACAGTCACGTGGGGCATGGCCGGAGGCCCCCAATACTGCGCGTGTGTGGAGGGGTGGGGTGGGGGCAAAGGTTGTGCAAGGCGGGAAGAGACGGGAGAGGAGGAAGTCGGACGGGAAAGGAACCTGGTCAGGTTGCCTGAGACGATGAGCAGGGAGGGCTACAGGGCTTGTGTGGGGCAGACCACACCGAGACGTGAGGCCCAGCTTTCTGAAAGGGCCACTGTGCTCACGGGATGAGGGCACTACCCACCTCCGCCCATGCTGCCGGCTCCCTCTGTCGCCACTGATCTGCTCTCTGGGAAGTGTCCTTCTGGACAATCAGCCAGGCCGCCTGCCTGCTCCGCCCAGAACGCAGGGTCACTGGCTCCCAGCAGCTCCCCAGCCGGATCCCCTCCAGCACCTCCCTTCTCTGGGAGTGTGTCAAGGGTTGAAAGGGTTGTAGGTAGTTTGGGGAAGGCAGGCAGGTGGGTAGAGGGGACGTGAGCCTCCACAGCAGAGGCCATGTGTGCGAGTGTGTGATCCCGCACAAGGAAGGCACCTGGGAGTGATGGGGTACAGCCCTGAGCAGGAGGCACATTCTTTAGCCCCCAGGCCAGCAGCATCCAGGGCAGAGTCGGTCAGAGAAGGAAGGGGAAGAGGTGCAGCCAGGACAGGGCCAGGGCAAGGAGGCAGAGGCAGAGAGGGAACAGGTGGGGCCGGCTGTCTGCCCCACTGGCGGAGGCGGAGCTCAGAGCTCAGAGCTTCCCCAGGAAGCTGTGCCGGGGCGCAGGTGTGATGAGTGAAGGGAGACAGTAAGCCCTTGGGATCTGCGATGTTTGTGTTTGTTTTTAATCACAGCACTAACTGGGCTGGCTATTTTCAGAAGCTGAGTGCATTGGAGAAAGAGAAATGCAGACAATGGTTACAGGTCACCACAGCCTCCCCTGTGGGAGTGGCTGCCGGGTCCCCTCAAAGGCTCCTGGGAGCAACCTTCTTCCACCCTGCAGACCCTGAGGGCGAGAGTTGGCAACCGTCTGTCTGGGGCTGGCAGCGGAGGGTTTGGAATCGAGGGCAGCTGACTGTTTAGTTGTCTGTCCCCTGCTTGTTTGGAATCGAGGGCAGCTGACTGTTTAGTTGTCTGTCCCCTGCTTGTGGGGTCTGAGGCATAGCCCTCCAAACGTCCTCTCCGCCCCAACCCCCTCCACCCCGCTTCCACACAGGCTCAGATAAGCTGCCTGGCATGCTGGCAGGAACCTTGGGTTTGGGCATTGGTCGGGCTGGCCTCACCCTCACTCAGGACCCCTGGGCAAGGATCTGCGTCTCCAGAGGCCTAGTTTTCTTATCTGCAGGGCCACCCGTGGCCGCACAGGTGGGGACAGACCGCCTTCAGGGGCAGGGTGGGTGATGGACAGCTGTCAGGTACAGTGCTGTGAGCTGGGCCACAGGAAGGAAGGAAGGAGTGGCCCCCAGAGACAGGCAGCTGGTCCTGGCCCACCTTCTCCAGGTGGGACCCCAGCCCTTTGTCACAGAGCAGCTCTGTGCCCTGGCCAGTCCGTTCCCAGACTGCTCGCTGCTTTGAGGGGGCCAGGTCTGTGGTGACTCCGGATAAAGTGGGCAACACTGACCCCCGGCTTCCCGGGTCTGCCTTCCAGGCAGCAGCCTGGAGCTCTCTCCCCCTGGGCGTTCAAGGCCAAGTTCCGTGGATCCAGCTGTGGACGTGACGCCACCACTACTCTGACAGCCTGATGCGGGCCGGCCCGCGTCTCCCTGCCTCCCCCAGCCACCAGCACCCTGGGCTGCCTCTCTTCTCACACAATCCAGTCCACATCCTTCTCTGTCTGAAAGTCATGCCTGGTCCTCTGTTGCGTGAAGTCCGAAAGTCTGGATGCCTCATGGCTGGCCTCTGTCCTTGCCCTTGAGAGCCTCTGCCTTCTGTCTGAAACACTTCCCCCCTCACATTCATTACAAGTGATATCACACCCGCACGCTTACTGAGGACTAAGCCTTCTCCAGCTCAGCTATGCTCACCAACCACCCACGCCAGAGACCCTGGATAGGCTGAGGCCCAGAGCAGTCAGCCAGGTGCCCAGAGCCACACAGCTCACATTCAAGTCCAAAGGCGCCTATGCCTGTACTTTAAGGAACATTATTAAAGAAATACACATTTCTGAATTCAATGTTGCCACGTGTACATTAATGACGTTGCTTACACTCACCGTGTTGCACAACATCTCCAATCGGTGTTGCCCACATCCCAAAGAATCCATTGCTACTTAGGCAATGACTGCCCTGCCCCTCCTGGGCCTGGTAACCACTGTTCACTGGGCTCCATGCATGTGTCTGACCTAGCTATTTCACATGAGTGACGTCACCCAGGACCTGTCCCCAGGGTCTTATCACCTTAACCACTCTGGTCTGTGTCTTGCAGACGGCAGACTGGGCCCTGGGAGACATCAGTGCGCGCAGCCAATGAGGTCCTGCCCTCGAGCAGCTGACAGCGCAGTGGGAGGGAGGCCACAGCTGACCTGCCCCAAGCAGAAGTGAGTGCAAGATTGGAAAACCAGGGGCTGAGGCAGCACCACAGGGGCAAGGTTTAGGCCTGCTGTTATGAGCTGAGATGGCACTCCAGTGTCTGCTGTAACCTCGCTGAGGGACAAGGAGAAGAGGACCATCGGGAAGTGTCCTCAGGACCCACAAGCCCCTCAGCGGGGGTGAAGTAACTGGCAGACAGGGAGGAAGTGAGTTGAGATGTCAAGCCAGGCCCTCCACTGACCTCTGGCCCTGAAGGGTGCCTTTACTGCCTGGGGTGGACTCCCTTCTGCTCCCCACTGGAACAGCCCTGGTGCCACATTGGGCCTCTACTCAAGTACTCCCACAATGCAAGAATGCTTTGTTCTTATAACCCGGCATTTTGTGATGCTCACTTTCCCTGACATGACCACTGAAGACAAATGGGTACATAAGCAAACATGGTGAAGAAATCTGACAGTGCCTGGCTACCAAAAGATATAGCATCTGAGGTCTTAAAGTCTTGAAGACAAACAAGCAGCCATCTAGCTGAGAAGCAACAAAGCCCATATGGAAGAAGCACACCAGCTTGTGTGATCATGGGGGTCAATGGGATCAGGTATCAGACATCAAAGACCCAGACCCAACAAAATCATATCAGTGTGAATGAGGGGAAGTGTAGAGTGGAGACCCAAAGCCCATCTGTGTGGGCTGCTGTGGCAGTTACATAATCTGTCAATTTTCAAAGGGGTGGAGTCTAGCCTGTCAATCAGATCACAGCCAATGAGGCCTCGGTGTGGTCATGGCCTTCTCCTGAGGATTCTGGGAACTCCTGTCTTCCTCCCTGGAGGTGGGACACACTCTGTTTCATCTTCCTGCTGACAAGCCACATGGAGCTACACTGATGGAGCCCAAGCCCTGGAGCTGGAGGAATCACATGGAGACCCACAAGACTTTCCACCCACTGCCCCGTGACCTTCCACTGCATGTACTGTGTGAGTCTGAAGAGGAATTTATGGACTGGCATTGGACTTGATCTGGACTGTTATCAGGCTTATGGACTTGATCTGGACTGTTTTCGTAATAGACAATTATTCTTTGACATAAAGTTCTCTTTACACATACACAAGTGTCAATGAATTCGCTTCTCTAGTCTACCTGGACTAACACAGCTGCTAAGCAGAGGCTCCAACTCTGCGGGGTCACCATAAATGTGTGGGCCTGGCGTGGCTGTGACCCACCAGACTAGGGGGTCATTACATGCCTGTGGCGCCTGCTCCCCTTCTCTGCCGAGCACCTACCTGCAGCCCCACCCCCTAGTCATTTCAGGTCAAAATGCCCCAGGACATAACTGAGGTCCAGGGTGCTGTGGGGATGGGACCGAGAGCTGCCAGGGAGCAGGTGCCTTCTGAGTACAGGCGTGGGAGGTGCCGGCTGGCAGGGTGAAGGGCGGCCTGGAGGGGCAACAGCAGTGCTAACAGAACGAGTTCACGGAGTGAAGCCTCAGCACCATGAGGGGCGGACGATGGGGTGAGAGCGCAGAGAGGTGTGAGGGTCACAGGCAGGAAGGCCAGGTGGTGGGCGCTGAGAGCCTGGGTCGGGAGGTCCCCGGGAGAGAGGGGGCACCAGCAGATGAGAAAGAGGCGGTGGCTCTGATGTGAAAGGCCCAGGCGTGCAGGTCTGCTGGGTCGGGGAGGGGATCCAACTCACAGCCTGGGCCAGGGCTCCAGGGGCAGATATGTGGTAGCCTACCCTGCTCTTCCCTGCCAAGAGTGGCAATCCTCCCCCTCTGAGGTGGGGGCCACCGATCCAGTTCCAGTCGAGAAGTAAAGAGATGGCTGCTGGGGTAATGGTGGGGAAGTGGGCTTCCCTTCTGGGGTACACTAGTATGGCCCAGGGAGAAAAAATAGCTTCCTTTCTCCCTTTTAGCCCGAAAGTATGAGAACAGGGCGTCTGGGGCTCAAAAGTCAACATGCCGAAGAAGACAGAGAAGTAAAGATCTTGGGTGTTTGAGCTGGCAATCCAACCTAAAACTCCTGACCTCCAGACTTCTTGTGAGGAACATGACACGCTCGGGGATGGGTGCTTTCAGGGTCTGTTGGCTGGGTTTCCTGTTACTTGCGGCTGAAAGCATCCCGGAATGACACTCCTGAGTTCGGCTGCACTAGCTTTCATAGGCTTCCGGTCACCAGACCACGGAGCTGGAATCCCACTGGGGCGCTTCTCCGCATGAGCCAGCCCAGCTTCCCGCTTCCCTCTACACGCGGTTCAGGGCTTGCGGGCCTCTCCCCGACGCCACCACACTCCTCTGGGCTGGGCTTTCCAGCATGCTGCCTTCTTCCAGAAACTATTCTCTCTGCTCAGATGTCAGGCTGCTCCTTCCACTCACTAAGCCAATAGCATTCGGCATGGGCCCCCTCCCTAAGCTCTCTCTAGTTGTCAAGACAACTGTCGTGTTGAGTTTGGGGGCTGTTGTTTGTTTACGTCTGTCTCCCAT